TGACATGCGCACGTAATTCAGGTGATGTTTGGCATGGTTACCAGCTGAACCCAGCCATAGATAGCATGCCTCAACCCTAAAGGCTCGAAAGAGTTCAGCCTCGAGTCCTAAACCCTGGACCCATACATCCATCCAAAAGCCTATAGTCTCCCTTAAGCAATTCCATATTCTATCTACTTAAGGGGAAGTATACTCCCTCACCGCAAAGCCTAAAGGTTTTGTCGCCCTAAGCCCCTCAACCCTAAGCCCTGAACCCCCTAAGCCCTAAGCACTAAACCTTGTAAAGTTTTATATCTCAGGAGCAGCCGGGGCCTGCGCCCATCCACAGACACACCAGGCGCCAGGCCCCGATCCCAAGGCGGCATGGCGAGGACCGCGGCGGTTACACTCACTGCTGGGATGGGTTTAGTGTGCAGGGTTTACGGTTCAGGGTTTAGCGTGTAGGGTTTGGAGTTTTGGGTTTAGGGTTTGGAGTTTAGGCTCTAGGGCCCTCTTCGAGTATCATAACTTCTGCGCTAGAGATGGGACATTGATTAAGCAAACGCTAGCGAGGAAATCTATTTGCGGCCTGAGAATTCAGACTCTGAGCTTGCTGTTTAGGGTTCAGGGTTTAGGGGGTCAAGACTGTGGTTTTGGGCATGTCTACCCTTATCTTACCCTCAGCACTAGAAGTCGGGATGTCCCCAAATTAGGGGTACCATTTTGGGTGTTCCAAGAACAAGGACTATCGTATTCCTAGACCCTCCTCCTACCCTCTATTAGGGCCTAAGTACCCACTATTAGGGACCATATATTCCCAATTACGGGTACAAGGAGGGTCCTGGTTCTTGGGTGTATTGGGATCCCCGTGTTTAGGGCAACTGGCGGATGGCTGTCAACAAGATCCGAGGCCATCATTGCCTTACTAGGGCGTAGTTAAGAAAAGGGGACCATATTACATAGGCATTCTAGTGATTATACAGGGACCATATTCCCTTACCCCCTACCATAATCCCAATACATACCCTATTCTAGTGTAGTCCTTTCCATGTTCTTTTCCATTACGCCTATGTAATCGCGACACGTTCCCTTATGCCCTACTAACCCTAAACTCTAAGCCCTAAACCCTATATCATACTCCTTTTTCCCCTCATTCCCTGCTCAGAACCATCAAGTTGCTGTGATCATTTTTTGGCCCTGCGAGGAAGCTCGCCATGGTACCAATGGTCAGGTGCCTCTGGTGGAGTTTAGGGTTTGGAGTTCAGGGTTTCAGTTTGGGGTTTGGGGTTTAGGGTTTGGGGTTTAGAGGTTTAGGGTTTAGGGATTGGGGGAGCGGCAGGTTGCTGAAAGCACTCCTTCTTAGGGGCGGGCGAAAGGACAACGACTACGAACCTTTCAGGTGCTTCTCTTGCGAGGCTGCGGGTGCAGCATGGGGTTTCCAATAGGTTTGATTCCGCCTCCTGTGCGGAAGGTGCAATGGCATCCTTGAATCTTGCCCCACTTGAGGCTGCTTTTCATTGTGTATTACGCGTGCGTCATGAATGACAATCTGTTAGCACCAAATCCTGAACCCCAAAGCGTGAGGATGTTCATGTCTTTGAGTTTACATCCGTGGCCGTTTTGGGTTCAGTTTGGTGCCCCGTGTGAGTAGGACACATTGTGTCCAGAATTTCTTGCCCACCCACCCACACCATATTTCACCGGAACCATAGGTTCCTACTTTAATGTATTTTACCTCTTACAGTTCTTCCTCCACGTCTCACATTTCCCCTTGGGAAAGTTCGATCACCCGGTCCCGCATCATAAATGCACCATAGGTGCATCATATTTACCGGGACAGTGCACCAGAGGTGCACCATTCGATACACCACTTGGGGAAATCTAGCCACTGAATTGAGTCGTGGCTGGAAAAAGGGAGTGCGCTTGCCTCCATCATGTGCACCTAGTTCAGCAGGTCTGCAACTAGGCTTGTAGTGCGGTAGGAGATTGTCCAAACGATTTTGTGGATTGTGGTGCATTCTATTAGAATGACTCCTCCTAACAATAAACGTCGTCCCCCCAAATGTATGTGGCGCTTACCAGTATTTATTATTAAGACGGGGTATTTGTCTCTGAATCCGGAATTAGGGGGTCAGGGCTAGGAGAGGCGTGAAATCAGGACGGTCCGAAATTTTGAGATCCCCCAATCAGCGGCTAATTTAGTAGCGCGCTTCTATGAAGAATATTTGTCTAGAATTCCGAAATAAATTTCAATTAGCCATTCTATTTGGACGCCCCCAAATTCCTAAGGTCTGGGCCGCTTCTTCCTTTTCTAATGGCAGTCTTCGAAGCATTTTTGCAAATTTGGGTTTTTGGGCTACCCATATTTGTATTACGGGGTGCTATTATTAGGGTGAACCAATTACAAAGCAAACTTTTGGGGCTTAGGGTAAGAGGACTGCGTAATAGCGTTTATTTGTCGTCAACACAATGTGGCAAAGTACACAGACATGCACAAGATGCTGGAAGTCGGTTGTCACAGGGCTTCCAGCGCGAAATTTCACAAGTCAGTTTTGACGTCTGATTTTCAAGAAATACGAGTCACAATTTTTAGCTGTTTTTACTTTTGGAATAACCGGAACAACAGCTTGGGTCTTCATGTCGCTTGTTCCTGTCGGGTCGTACGGAGTGGACGCTTCTTTCTACTTGAGAGCAGGCTGAAAAATGTAGAGCTGATCACTGCGCTTTGTTTGGAAGCCATTGCTTGAAAGTATATTATTCCTGTCTGAATGGCTCATGTAGAAGTTGAACTTGATGCATATCCTCAAAGATTACCCCAAAGCTCGAAGATAACAGGTGAAAGACCCTTTAATCAGAACTTCCAGGCCTTATAATCTCAGCCGAAATCCCTTCAATGGGCTGTCGCTTCGCGACCACGGATTTTTACCAGCGAAGTCCGAGGTTCAGGCAATACCTTTGGATCGTGCGATAGTGCACAGATGAGTGCCACGATATCTAGACAGGTGCGGCAAAGCCTTGATTCTTTTCCGTTTCATTTTCCAGATCCGGCTCAGCAGAGTCAAAAAATACAGCTTAACCGTGACCCGCGTGAAAGCGAAGGAATGGTTCCTGTTGAAGATACCTTAGTCACGACATGAACAGCAACTCAAGCTCGACAGCTTGAGATGGATTGAGTAGCGGTTCCGAATGTCGTACCTCCCTTCTGCGTAGCTTATGGAGCCGGCGCCCCAAAGTTGTTCCCTTTGGCATGAGAATGATTAGTATTACTACTATTACTATTACTATGACTATTACGAATACTATTAGTATTACGATTACTATTACAATTGCAGTTATTATTTTTAGTAATATTATCATGTCCGCTAGAGCATATTTTGGAACGCAGAAGGCCAAACGAATTGGATTGCTCGCGGCCTTTGCCAAGGGCGCGCGACCAGGCGCGGAAGGTACGTGAAAATATGCAGGTCAAGAGGTCAAAAGAATGGTCAATTAGCGGTCAATGATGTGATTCTCCTTGTCCAGGCACTTTGTCCAAATCGATCCTGGGATTTTGCGCGGGAATTGTCTGCTGCCTCGCATTGCCTTGTCCGTCCAAGCCATGGCTTGGGACCACTGCTCTGAGGCGGTCACTGCGCGATTGCTGCGCGCGATTCAAAGGAGAAGAGGTTCAGGCTCTTCGACGAAGCAGTGAAGAGGCCACAAACTGTTACTAAGAGGAATCCGAGAAGGCCTGCTTGCGGGTTTACCTACTGAAATTGCATTGTTTCGAGGCAGAGCGCAGCCTGTTGAGGAGACAGCTGGATGAAAGCGCTGCGTGGCAGGACAGTCTGATCACAATTGGTGCACCAAGACGCAATAGGAACTATGCAGAGGCTTGAGAAACTCGTTTTCTGCTTGAACCCGAGGACTTCTTAGGTGGCTTCAACAGCAGCATTGCCAGCTCCTCAGCGTCGCTTCCTTGTTTCAGTTTCAGTCAGTAGTCAACAACAGCCTTGTTTGGAGCAAGCCTGTGGGGACGGAGGGCGCGCATTCTTCCTCGCGGCTCGACAAGAGCAGTCAAGACCCCCCCACCATTACTCAACAAGAGCACGCAAAAACCTGCAAAGTTTGGGACGCGCGCGCATCTTGCAATTCGGTAACATTAGTTAGTAAGCGTGGGTCTTGGCAGCATTTTGGCATCTGTCGGCGTTGGTGGATATTCATTCTCTCTTTCTCATGAAGATACGCAATGTAGCATCACAGCTTCTCTTCCAGTATTATTTTCCACTGGGATGTGCCTCCTTGCCGAAAAGGGAGTGTTCGCTCGGTCGTTCGAAATCTCTTTCACCCTTGCCCGCATGCCCCCTTGATGAGGACCGCGTAGTTGACAAGTTCATCTCCATGTGAACGCAATACCTTCCAGCAACCTGACGAGAGACCACAGCCCGTACTGCTAGCAAACGTTGCGGATGTTGCTGGGATCAACGACACTCCAACTGGCCACGGCGCTACGTGGCATGAGAATTGCTACACCGCACATTAAGACAGAACATGTAAGTGCCTCCACAGCCACCACAGCAGCTTTTCAAAAGACAATTGCAACGGGGCGAACAGCACGGCTTCAGCTCTCGGAAGTCAAGCCTGAAATTTCTTGTTGGCTGCTTGCCTTGGTGGACCCAGGATGTTCGATTTGATGCAATGCACACAGAGACCGACAGACGGTTGAAGCTGCCCGCAGCCAAGAGTGGCCACAGCCATGACCCATTTAGGACGCCAGTGTCGAAGTGCAAGCCATTTAATAAATTCCTGACCTGCAGGCTAGAAAGCCGGCTCGTTCGAGTGGAGGAGGTCCCAGCCCATGTGCACCATTGCAAGCCACGCGTTCCAAGTCATGGGGCAACTAGTGGCAGTGTCGGCTGTTTTTCAATCAGCCCTTATGTGTTTGAGGTGGGAGTTGCCCTGCAGGCACCTCTGGGTGCTGCAAGCTGATGGCAGCTGCGAGTGCTCGATGGCCTAGTTCATTTTCCTGGGCCCCCCCCGCAATGGCCTCCAAGCTTCTCTGCCTCGCTCTCTTCGCGCCAAGTTTGGCTGAAACTGCGCAGAAGGTGGGCATGACTCCACTTGTCTCTGTGAAGCTCTGTGCTGCCCTGAAGCTCCCAGAGACGAATTGGCAAGGTGAAGGTCGAGTTTTTCGCCGAAGCAGGCTGCCCTTTCTGCCGTCAAGCCATTGCAGGGCCTGCAGCTTTCTCAGCTGTTCCAAACAAGCAAGGTGTCTATGGTGTTTGATCGGAGGGGTTGTCTATCACCAATGTTGAGGTTAACAAGACCTTGTCCATGCCCAGCGTAGCGGCCATCATGGACTCTCGGCTTCGGATTGCTCGTGTTTCTTGCTGCTATGGAGGAAGCTTGGGCTCTCTCTTCCAGTGCTCTCTGCATGTGCCCCTGCTCAGGACTTCCAGTTCTTTCCCTTCGGCAACGCTTATTTTGTCACCACAGAGTGCAAGGGAGCTGGTGACTATGCGACATGGCCGGCTTTAGCCTATGTTGATTTTTCTGGCTTTGAGACTGCAGTCCTGTGCATACCATGTTGTTGGCAGCTGCCTGCACAGGCATGCCACGCACCCTAAGGACATGGCAGCACGCAAGTGCTTTAACAAGAACTGTGGTGCTGGAGCGTCCCAGCCCCCAAAGGATATGTTGCACACGGGGCCTTCTGCGTCAGTGGCATCGATGCTGTGAAGACTGCTGGCAGGACTGCTTTACCGGAGCTCTGGTTTGCCAGCATGGCAGCCAAGAGTGCGCGGCAAATCGTTTTTTGGCCTGTGCCAAGACAGTCGCTGGCGAGAACTTGCTGCCGTTCATGTCCTTTACCCACTGTCCACTTCTTACTTACCGGCCGCTCTAATTGAACTATGCTCAAGGGTAGCATCGTGGTCCAAGGTGTAGAAGCAAGTTACGACACGTTCTCGAAGGCAAGTGGTCACATGCTGCAGAGGAGCACTCACACGATCCCCCTGTCGGCACACTGGCAGGACACTGTATCAGCATGTGCCGATGCTAGCCAGATCGACAAAGACGCGGTTTTTCGTTGCCGCAGAGCTGCACTGGTTCCGTCCGCGTGGCTGTTTTCGCCCGCTTGCTCCACCTGCAGCAGCATGTGCAGGCTATTCCGGCTCGGAGGGCGATGATGCGACCGTAGCACAGGCAAAGGCAACACCAGAACACCCAGGCAGGCTGTGTAGCTGATGTGAGCTGATTTTCGAGTGGGCGGAGATTTTCAAGAGCAGGTGTGCCGTATCTTTTGGTGAACGGGCAAGCTGTGGAACAGCCAGATGACTTGTTGAAGACAGCCCTTTGGCATTGATACCACGAGGGTTGCTGCCTTCAATCAATTCCAACCTGCTGCTCTCCCTCCTCAACTTGCTGCTGCTCCAACTGCCTCTGAAGATCACTTTGAGACTTTTTTGGTGCTAAGGTTTGCAAGGCCTACCAGGGCTCAGAACCTGATGCGTGCAAAAGCATGGACACTTGGCCAACCCACCCGATCATTCTGCAGGTGTAGACTTGCAGTGTACATAATATACAGTGATATAGTGTGACATAGTCAGGGCCTGGGATGTGAAACAGTCCCGGCTGTATCCAACCCGGGCATATGCGTCCTTGAAAGAGCCGCAAGAGTTGGCTGGAAAACAGAGCTGGTCGGCGTCCTGTCCCTGAACACAAATGGGGCATCTGCAGGGAATTCGCTTCGTTGACGGCGATTTCTCTCTTGAGGCTTTTTGTTTGTCTTGAATGTCCGTCAGTGCAGACAGACGTCTTACCCCAGCCAGGTTCAAAAGGCTTTGTCTGAGGCAGGCTTGTAAGCTGCACCTCGTTGGACATCAACGAGGAGATCGTTTGGTATCATGAAGCCTCGTCAGGCTTTCCTTCGAGTTGAGCGCAGCGCCTCTGCAGCTGCGGCAGCACTTGCTGCCCAACCTCGGAGGTGTCAAATAAAAGATTTTAGCGCAAATGCTGTATTCCGACAGCTTTTTTGGAGTCCCAACACTGGATATTCTGCCTAGCGGCTCTGGTGAGTTCACCGCAAGGGGCTGCCGACTGCCCCGTCGAGAAGGCGTGGTGAGTACAGTATGTGGCACTCCAACAGCATTCGTTTTGGTATGTTCGGGTGGCAGCAGGTGACGAGCTCTGCGAGGCCGAGATGGAGAGTGAGATGCGGGAGTTTGCTGAGGCAGGTGACAAGATGCAATGCAGCTGACCAGAGACATGCGGCATCATGATGTGGCATCATGCGACATGCACTTAAACCAAGGCCGAGTCTGAGGACGACCTGCCGGAGGCATGGGCTTCGACCTGTACTCCTAGGGCGTAAGAGGGGCCGGAGGGTTGCCAGGACCAGGGACTGGGGTGGCCCCGGGCCTGGATAAACGGCGAGATCCTGGTCTGTAGGCAGACACCCCTGAGTGTGGACCATTGTGGGCCAACGCATCATGGAAATCCGGAGCTGCTAGCGCGCTTTTTACTTTACAAGTAAGCTAAACCAAGCCTCAGATACAGCTTTCTGGACCTCCTGTGAAGTACCAAGTCCTGAGCATCCATCTTAGCATATCTTAGCATTGCGCAGGCTGGCCACAGTGGGTGCGTCCACGGTAGCTCTGCTGCATCGACCTCCGCATATGGGAAGGCAAGGACATGGAATTTGGTGGAATCGTGCCCTGGGTGTGGGCTCGTAGGAACGCCAAACGATGACGCATTCAGACACAGGAACCCGCCTGAGACATTCAGGAACAAGCAGGGCAGCCAATTCACGAACCGGGCCGTGACAATCCAGGAATCACGCGCAAACAATTCCGGAACTAAGACAATTATAATAAAAGCGACAGAGTGAAGCGCGAATGTGCCTTCCCCTCCATGGTTCTCCTGGACCTTGCATCCTAAGCTCTGATCCCTCTGAGCTCTTTTTACCAATGTACTGTAGTAAAACCTGAAGAGGGTCGTTGTCCTTTTTGCAGGTCTATTTTGGCCTCAGTTTTTAGGGCTTTGGGTTTCTGGTGGGATTCAGGATTTAGGGTCCTGGGGCCTTAAGATGTGGGATCTAGGGCTCGAGGGCCTTGCGGTTTAGTTTAGGAGTTAGGGTTAAGCCCTCCGACCACATGTAAACATGCACCAGCTGTCTTTTTTCTGAGCTCAGGACCAAGATAATGACGTTCGTGGGACAGAAGCATTCGGTTCCCCAGAGCATCCATACGGTTCTCCAGAGCATCCATGCTGGCCAGTATAATAACGTTTGTGTGGCCAGAGCACACGGTTCCCGCGAGCATCCATGCAGCCCGAGAAAAACACGCTCATGTGCCCAGAGCATATTGTTTCCCAAGGCATCCATGTTGGCCAAGTTCGAGTGACCAGAGCATACGGTTCCCCGAAGCATCCATGCTGGAAAAGATAATGATGTACGCGTGACCAGAGCTTTCTGTTCTCCGGAGCATCCATGCTGGCCAAGACAATAACATACGGTTCCGCAGGGCATCCATCATGTTGGCCAAGATGATAGCGTTCGTGTGTCCAGAGCATATGCCTCCCCGGAGCATCCGTGCTGGCCAAGATAACGTTCGTGCGACCAGAGCATACAGTTCCCCAAGGATTCCATGTGGGCCAAGATAATATCCTGCGTGTGACCGGAGCATATGGTTCCCCAAGGCATCCATGTTGGCCAAGATAATAACGTTGGGATGACCTGAGCATACGGTTCTCTCGAGCATCCATGCTAAGAAAATACCGTTCCTCTGACCAGAGCATGCGGCTCCCGGAGGCCAAGATGATAACGTCCGGTTCCGCAGTGCATCCATGCTGGCCAAAATGATGACGTTTGTGTGTCCAAAGCATATGTCTCCGCGGAGCATCCATGTTGGCCAAGATGACAGGCATACGGTTCTCTCGAGCATGCAACCTGGCCAAGATAATCACGCTCGTGTGACCAGAGCATACGGTTCCCCAACGCATCCATGCTGGCCAAGATAATAGCCTTCGTGTGGCCGTACCAGGCCTACAATGTCGCTTTTTCAGGGGTCGACCCTTATGCCCAGCTTATTGACCGTGGCAGTTAGTGGACCTCTAGCTTAGCATAACATTTCAGCCAGTTCTAATCCTGAAAGCCTTGCAACCTCAAAGCTCCTGTGCTGGCAAGAATAATTAGCATTCCTTGCACTTGCAGTAAAACCAGCTTCTCTCCCACTGCTGCTACCAAGAAGAGCCAGGACTCAAAATTTCCAAGTTTTAAGTCCCGAAGTTGCACGCTTCTGGACATTGTGATCCCCAAAATAAGGCGTGGCAGAAACATGCAGAAACAGCACGTTGTAATCGCTCATGTGTCGTTTGGGCGCGTATTTATGCGCGGTCGGAACAGGCTTAGGGTTTTGGGCTTTGGGTTTAGGATTTTACACCTAGCATTTCAAGGGTTTTGCGGTTTGGAAGCTAAGGTTTAGAGTTCAGGATCTAAGGTTTTGGATTTACTCTTTAGGGTTGAGGGTCTAGGTCTTAGGGTTAAAGTTTGACGGTACTTGGATTGTTCTGTTTGGGTTGAGGAATTTTGGTGGCGATAGCGCCAGCAGGAGCAGAAAGCAGTCGCGGTCGTCATGGCGTGGTTGCGATTCTCGTCGCTATGCGGTGGTCTGGGTGGGGTTTTGTGCGTCCGAATTGGTGAGAGATGGTGGCCGGATTGTCTTGGTTCGCGAATTGGCACTGCTTGGTTCTCGAATGTCGCCTCGTTCCCGAATTTGGTTCCCGAATTGTGGCAGTTCCCGAATTTCAAGATATCGCCCCGTGGTTCCTGAGTTTGCGCCAGAATGTCGCGGCCTAGGAATGGCTCTCGCCCCATGGCCCTATGGATTTAGCTTGTGCAGGAAGCGAAAGACGATGAGCGCGAGGACAGGGCAAAGTCTGCAGTCTCCGAGTCAGAATCTTTGAATCCAACAGCCAGCCGCAAAGCAGCTGAACCTGAACTCGTGGCTAGAAATTCAAGCCGCTTCAAGGCTGGAGAAGCTAGGGCTTCGCCTAGTTGTCGCTGCAGAATCTGCCGCAAGAAATGCTGCAGCAGACGTAGCCCGAGAGGTGGGTGTTGCACATCACTCCAGTGAAGTAGGATTATGCAGACGACTTGGACTCCAAGACTTCAGGTGGCCGACGCTGCGGCCTCCAAACTTGCAGAATTGAGACGTCAGGCAGGGTGTGATAGGATGTGCGCCCAACATGTTGTGTTGATTCCATTGGATCACTCGGGGAGGGCCCGGTCAGAATCGCGAATCAGATGGGCACAGGAGGAAAAGAAGGGTATTACATCAGCACACAAGAGTCAAATCAAACCTCTATCACAGACAGTTCTGTGCAAACACGCGTAATAAACAACAATCTTGAACTAACTTTGCCTCTGCGATTTAAACTGGTCCGCATGGTGCTCCCAGTTGGTGCACCTTAAGGACAGGAGAGAAATTCAAAGAAGCGTGCACGCGGATCCGTTTCTCTCGCCTGGCAATCTTGCTCGTAACCAGTACACTTTGACATATAGGGACGTGTGCAACCCCTGTGATCCTTTCGCCTTCCGCCTGGGACAAACCCAACCTGGCCGATCCAAAAAACAGCAGCTGTGAGCTCGTTGTTAGCTCTGTGAGCACCTGTTTCCAGCCTGCTTGTCTTGCTGACAGGTGCTGAAGGAGGCACAGTCTCTCCTGTTTGAGTGCTTGCTTTTGCAGGCCTAGGCAGGCATGAATGGCAGGTCGATCGACAGCGGTCATCTTTGGAAGCGACGGCTGCAGAACTTGGAATGCAGGAAGGGTGCCTGTGGACAGTAGCAGCCCCTGTTTAGCTTCTGGACAGGCGGAGGCTGCTGCAGCAGTGGCCAAAGGTGCCGAGGTGCAAGCACAATCACATCCTGCCCATTCAAACTGAACTTGATCGACTTTTGACCCGCAGGTTGCAGCAGCGGTCGCCGAGACGTTTTCGCTGCGCCTGGAGAACTCATCTGAAGAGCTGATGCAGGCTAGTTCAGATACTTGGTGGCAAAAGACTATGGTCTGAAAGCAGGTCAAAGTGCAGAGTGACGAACAGCATGATGACGTGAAGCAGCGCATGGAATTGCTGGTGCTGGAGGCATTGGCCTGAGATCCGTTGGTCACCTCTATCCTGCTGCCAATATTGCCTGCCAAAAGAAGCAATACTTACACTATGTCCGAGCTAACTTGGCTCTGCTACATGTGCAGAGAGTTGAGGTAAAGAACACTCTTGGCCCAAAAGTCAGCCACTTGGAGGCCGAACAAGATGTAAACCTTTTGAAGCAGAGGAGCATTGGAAGTGCAGCGGTCAAAAGCAGCGTTGCTCAGGAGCAACTTCAAGCGGAGAGCTCGCGCTTGGACGTAGTGGCAAGCCTCCACCCCTGAAGGATCCTGGAGGTGCGGCTGAAGTAGTTTCATGTGTTTCCAGACCTCCAAGGCCAAGGGGCCGCCCACGAAGTGGCCCAGAGCCTATGTCAAGATGCTGTCCAAAGGCTCTCTGAGGCCTGACACAGTTCAGAGCCATGCCCAAAAAGCACACCAAGTTCCTTGCGCAGGCATCAGCGGCATCCGCACAAGCATGGGAGCAGCACAAAGTGGCTACTTGGCTGAAATTGCACGACTGGCGTAGACAGTTGTGAGACGCTGGGACAGGAATGTTGAATATCATATTGGCATGTTGGACCCGTGCTTAAGAGTCTGAGCATCCTTCTCACACATGCAGCTCTATTGCGCAGATCCCAACCTTGAGAATAAGACATGTATGGTTTCCAGTGACCCCACTGTTGCGAACCGTGCGCGACATCGCACGCCTTATCTTGCGAGATGCAGCGCGGCTCACAGACTCCCATCAAAAATCAAAAATCCAGAAAGCAACAGGCTATGCAAGAATGCGTTGCGGAGAAGCATGCAGCAAGTCCACCCCTTGAACTGGCATGCCCAGCAGAGTCTGGCCTTCTGGGCATAAGACACAGACATCGTTGCTTCAAGGTCTGTCAAGCTGTGAGAAGACCTCGGCAGATCTGATCGCCTTGGTTGGCCACCTGGACTTGGACCGCTTGCTATTCACGGCAGTTGTGACCAAGCCTTTCTAGGCTGCAGCGGTCAGCGCAAGGGCAGAGGTCCTTGACTGATGATCTGCTGGCTGAGAGAAGGGACAATTAGCGTCATTGCCAGGCCACCGAAATATCCATCGGTGAGCTCCGCATGGATTTGGGGAGAGAAGTGAAGACATGCTGGACACTGAGTACTGCGGCGACTGTGGCCGTTATGAAGCTAGAGCATCAGGTCTTGCGGAATCTGCTGACTTGGGCAGCCGGCTGGCCGAACTGGATAAGAGCACTCGATGCTTCTCTGAGGAGACTGCGTGCACTACTCTTTTCTTCCACCGACCAGAAAACTGAAGGAGGTGGCAGAAAAGGCACGACAGGCCGGAAGATGTGGCAGATCGCCTCGTTACGGCTCCATCGATCCAGTATGATCCAGTTATTCTTGTCAATGTTGCTGTTTTCGCCTGCCAATCACATTTGCATTTGTCGCAGAATGCAGAATGGTGGAAATTGGAGTCATCATGTTGGCATTTTCCCATTTCTTTTTTGCAGCTCTTGTGTTCAGTTGCTGAAAGATCGATTCCTCCAGCGGTCCCCTAGACGAAGAGGAAGACCATTTATTCAATTGAACAAGCCCCTGATTCAATTGAACGAGGGGGTATGCTTGGATAGGTGATTGAAGATTGAAGATTCTCAGGAAAACTTCTTCTATCCATGGGAACCCTTCATTCAATAAGGAATACAACAAAAACGAAAACACAACAACACAAACAACACAAGCAAAAAAGCACAAAACAACACCAACAGCAACAACACAAAATCAAATCGATCAACAAACTGATACAATATTTTGGGCTGTCCCAAGTTATACAGTCAGTTATACAGTCAGGAACATTTTTTATTGGTTGTGCCGTAGGCCTATTCCTTCCCTCTTCATCACGACTACGCATTGACCCCCCCCCCCGCCTCATTGATACAAGAGAGATACCATTGACTTGAAAGAAGTGGAATCTCCAGTTCTTACAGGTGTTTCTCTTGATCCCATAGAAAGTCAACAGAAACAACTGGAATTTGAGCTCCCTCCTCACATGGAGAGGGCTTTGTGCTTTTGGCATTGCAGGAAAGTTTTCTTCATGATGCAGTCATACATGTTACATAATGTGCTATGTATAGGGCGTATAGGGGTAGAATCCAGCCTATCTTTTAAGTAGACCCTGGAGGCCAGCCAAGGGGCCTAGCATTCAATGGTTTACTTTATTTACTGTCTCAGCAGCTCCAGTAAAGGCTGGAGAAATTAGATGAAATAAGCAAATGCATGTTTTTATTCTATTAAGTTTCATTTGCCCTTTTGGAGAAATTATGTACATCAATGAAGTACTGAATCTATGTAATTTATTTAATCTACTAATTCTATGTAAACAGACCCTAGGCCAGCCCAGGGGCCTACAATTCAATGATCCAATGTATTTCGTTTGGGTAATTTCTCCAATAAAGGCTAGAGAAATTGAATAAATCACTTTTGCTTGATTGTATTAATGTATCCAATTTGTTCAATGTATTCGAATAGACCCTGGGGGCCAGCCTAGAGTTCAATGATCTAACGTTTTCATTTATTCAATTTCCCCTGTAAAGGCTAGAGAAGTAGAGCAAATGAATTATTGAATGTACTTAATTCATGTAATTTATTCAACCTATCTAATATATTTAAGTAAACCCAAGTGGCCTGGAATTAATTGTTTAATCTACTGAATTTCTCCAGTAAAGGCTGGAGAAATTAGATACATTAAGCATATTGAATACTAAACATGTGTCATTACTTGTTTTACTTCTTTAGCTTTTTCTGGAGAAATTAAACGAATTAGATTAATTGTCGAATGTATTTCATATATTACATATTTTTAAACAATTTAGCTTATCTCGATGGACCCTGGAGGCCAGCCAAGGGGCCTAGAATTCCATGATTTAATGCATTCAATCTCTCCAGTAAAGGCTAGTGGATTTAGATAATTTACATACGTTAAGCGTGATTTATCTATTTTAATTTCTTCAGTAAAGGCCAGAAAATAACCTAAATTCCATAAACTACATTATTGAATTCCAGGTCCATATATGACGTTCGGTGCTCTTAGCATGTTTGCTTGGTCTGCCTATCTTCTCGGATGATGTGACGGACGGCACGTGCTGTGCTAGAGTGTTGAGCGCTTGCTGATGTGACAGAGTGCCCAGACCTGCTCGGTGCGGAATGCTGGAGGGTTGCTATATATATATATATACACATACACACACGCTCACACATACCTATGCGGGTTACATTACATGACATATAGTTATGCATGTCTCTTCCTGTTTATCTTGCATTGATAGACCTTATCCTGATAACACAAGTATGCCCTTGAAGCGTCATGGAAAGGCGACGCGTGCTCTAGAAATGGCCATGAACCCGGAGGCCGCTCTGTGTCGTGGCTGCTGTCACCATATATATATATATATGTACACACTTATATAGTATCATTCTCAGTAAGATCAGTGTCTGTCATCGTTGCTGCAGGCTCGAATTACCATTCCGTCATCCACTGCTTCAGATTTTTTTCGGGTTTTGTTTCTAGCACGATGAAGACTTGCCGTTCCTATTCTTGTGCCTGTAAGACATTGACCTATCGTCATCAGGAGTATGCTCACTGGACAATGCTACCATGGAATTGTTCATACTTGTCTTCGATACAATGGGTTGACTTGACGAACTTGTGCTGGAGGTGCAAGAGATTCGGCACGAGCTCCAGGCAATGTGTCAAAATTCCACTTTGCTAACATCGGGGAAAGGATACTGCTAGCTTTGCTGATCCTCTGCGCAGTTGGTGTAAAACATGTCCAGGGCGCCACCAAATGCCAACAGTATTGAAAGCCAGGCAGCTGCACAGCGCAAGTCCGTCCAGGTGCTGGCACCTTAGTGTGTAGCCGGGTAGCCACAGAAACAGGGATAGCAAAAACAATTTGAACAAGGGGGTGCTGTTTTCCGTGTTCACTCTCAGCTAAGGCTTGAATCAGAGAGCGCGAAACTGGCCAAAGCGCTGCGCGAGTTGCAGTGTGCTCGTCTTGGTCTGACAAATCCTTGCGGATCTTGCGGCAGGGTCACATAAGTCCTCCTTGAGTAACCGCTTGTATTGTTTGTGTTGTCAAGTGTCCGAGTGACCCCTAACGAAACGCACATTCCTGCGTCAGGCTAGCAAAGCTGCCGTGCCTAAGGTGACCAGCCAATCCATGCCCAAAGCAGAATCGCGTTTGTGTTTCAAGAGCATATGGCGATCACTTTGAAATCTATGTCAATTGCTGTTTGTTGATGTGCAAATTGCTAGGGGTCGTTCAAGTAGTTCAAGCACGTGTTGCCTTGTTTGTGAAGCATGGCCTGACTGCTCCGGAAGAAAGCATTGACTGCATATTCATTGTCTCCATCCGAAGGGCCGCAAAAGCTGAGGCCAAGGGATTGGTCATGAGTGGACGGTGCCACGAGCAAACCAGCGAGTTGAGCCGGAAGCTTGTCCCTGACAGCTTGCCAGTGTCTCATGGCTCTTGCGTTTGAAAGTCAGGTATCTAGCAATGGACTCCAAAGATGCAAAGGGTATCTGGATGGACTCTCCGGAGTTCTGGCTCTGCTCTGACAGTTCAGGTGATCTTGCAACTTGCAGTATTTCGCTATGTTCAGACGCATGAGGCTTGGAGGACAGGGCCCTCTATTCCTGCGTTTCTACCCTCAGGGAGCTGCTGACCCAGAACTTGGACAAATCAGGACTCGAGTAGTAGTCTAGACGGACAGGTGGCCGGAGGTGATGGACTTTGTGCAGTTGGCCTGTATGTGGAGAGCTCGGTGCAATGCGAAATGTTCACCTGAAATGTCAGCCTCTCTGCGGGGAAAGGCACCTCATCAGGATAGGCTTGCTGCGCGAGGCTGAGGGAGACGATGGCGCAAGATGATGCAAGATGGCATTCGGGCGGCTTGTGAAAAGACTGTATTCCTTGCACCGTATCAGGCCTTACCGCTTCGCTTGGATCTTCGCTGGGAGCTTCGTTGTTTCTTGGTCTCGATCAACATGATTCCGCAGATACTCGTAAGGGGTTGCAGACCTTCGCAAACGGGCCGTGGCGCAGACGGAGGCTAGGCGGCTAGCCCAGAGCCACTGCAGCTTGCCAGGCTTGCCGGACCAGAAATTGAGGCAGAGGGAGTGCTGTGGCTGGCACATGGCTTCGGCAGCTTCGGCGCGCTGGAGCTGGTGAAGGAAGACTTGACCGTAGGCTACGACCTTAGTCGGCCATGTGGGTTGGCTCATCCAACTTCTTCTTGCTTTGGCAGGTGTGGAAATTCCACCCTTCGCCTGGGCTGCTTTGGACAAGGTCTGCATCTCTGATGCTCCATGGCCATGGCGTCTCTCAGCAATCTTGATGTTGATAGGGAGCTCAATTTGTGAGGCAAATGCCAATCAGGCGGCTGGTAATCCCTTCCAGCATGGGAGCTTTACTGCAACAGTCCTGTGCTCAACATGCACTTCTGGCTTTTTTTGCAGCAGTGAGGTTTTGCTGCACGCTGCAGGCGAAGTTGCGAGATGTCAGCGACTGTCCAAAGCCGACAGCGACCCGCCTGTCGTGCCCTGGGCGATGCTCACTGCCTTTTATTCTGATCTGAGGTCAGCTCAGAGCAGGTTCAACCCGATTGCAAGGCGTTGCGCAGAGTTGAAGTTTGCTGCATGCCGTTCCTGCAAATCTCCAGGCCAGGTCAGTGCCGGGATCGCCACATGCTTGTCAGCAGCTCACTTCTCTTCAGCATCCAAATACGGTGGATGTTTGGCTTTCTTTGCAAAGGTCCCGGCGCTGTCCTGTCAAGCCCAAGTCCCTCGCGTCCGGGCTGGGCGGTGTTTGGTGATCAAGGCGATCCAGTTTAGAAAGGCTCACAGGGTGTGACATTGTGTGACAAGCGACGCTCTTCTCCGAGGCGACCGCAATGCGAGCGCACCCGAGCAGCCTGAGCGGCGGCGGCCCTGGTCTGCGCAAGCCGCGCAGCGTGCTGCCTGGCACCTGGCATCAGCTGAGACAAGTGGCATTGATGTATCGACCCTTGCTCCAAGGTTAACGTTACCACATTTGCCACTGTGCCGGCGCAAAGGCGGCGTGAAGTGTGAAATGAACCTGTGACCTGTGTGGTTTGCCCTTCAGACGCCAGGAGGAAACCTCCAGCCTGCGCAAATCCATTTCTGTCGGCCACAAGTGCCGCTGATGATCGACGCTCCACGAATCCCTTCCTCGACCGTGCGTGAGACGCATGCGTTTCATGTGTTTCAAGCCTCCGCGGGTGCCATGTTCCGTACAGCTCGCACATTGCCCCTAAGATGCTGTTGAAGCGCTTTCTTCTCGACCTAGACCATCGGACAGACCGGCTGTATGCATGCTTGCGAGCAAGCTGACCTGGCATGTGTGAAATGACATGCCTGCTGTGCACGTCTCCCTAAAGTGTTGCAACATATCGAAGCAGGAGCTGCAATAGTACAAACATCTTTCTGATCTTTCTGCCTCGAGCTGAAGCATGGCCTCCCGAGATGTCAGAACCGCGGGTGGCTCTGTGGAGCCTTGTGACCGACTGCAGGCAGCGAGCCTGTTTTCGTTTACCCACTGTGTGGCAAAGTGACAGGTATCGATTCAGCAGCTCCTTAGAGTGATCACTGAAACTCTCGATGCTCTTGAGCAAGAAGAATCGGACCAGGCAGCGAGCTTTCGTGCTGTACTGCGATGTTTTTGTTTGAGTGCTGCTGGTTGGAACAGGCCGTGAATGCACAGCTGCAGAAGTACGCTGCTGCACTGGCTGCCGCTTGGAGGCAACCAGCCTCTAGAGAGTCGGCGCTCACTGACTCTTCTCACCAGAGCTCAGGAGGTGGACCACCGAGCAGCATTGTTGCCAGAGCCTGCTGCTTTGAGAGGAAAGCTTTACCTCTCTTCGTTTGCGGGAAGCGCAGACTGGGAGTCCAGCAACCTTCTGAGCCCGCCAAATGTTTGTGGTTAAATAGTTTGTCCCTGAACTCCACGCACTTTGATGCTAGCATGCGATTGGACTGGCCTCGACGTGCCGTACTTGTTTGGAGCTCAGGCTTGAAGTGCCAACTTCCGTGCTTCAGCACATGGATCAGGCCAGGACTTGGTGAGCAAGGGGAAAGAGATTGCAGAGTTTGGTAGAAAGATGTAGACAGGTCGGCAGCACTCCAGCGGGATGGTGTTGGGAACCTGGTGCCCGCAGTCGTTTTTCACTGGAGCTATTGCCAACGGGGCGTGGCACTGAAACTCTCGGCTTCCCAAACTATGAGACGTGAGAATCACACTGAGAGACCACGACGCGAAGTATTCTCCACGACCATCATCACAGGAACACCGAACCCCTGTTATGTGAAGCATGGGAGAATGTAGTTCACCTGAGCGGTAGAAACCACCGACAGGCTGCATTCAGAGACTCGCCTCGTCATTTGTTGCAACCAGTTAGATCAATCAGAAGCGCACGTCGTACCCAGCAGATGTCGTAAGGCTAAAAGCAGAGCGAGACCCGCTGGCAGAACGCCCGAAATTCTCTAGCACTTGCCATGGGCTGGGCTTAGGCCAAAGTGTGCTGGACCGCTTGACAACGGGTACGGAGGCCAGGGCAGCTATGGCAGCTCTAACCTTATGAAGACCTGCAACATTTTTACTGGTACTGCCAAGGGCTTCAAGCGACGAAAGGTGCCAGTGGCAACTTTGGGCAGGCGCAATTGCTTACTTCATGCCTCGTATGTTCGCGGTGGTCGCAGAAGGCACCTGCGCGCACGAGGTTTCGTGGCTGCAGGAGCAGGAACCCCCCAAGTGATCTGACTTTTCTGCCTCTCTTGCAAAGGTTGGGGGCTGGCATCTCTCAACAGCTTGTCACAGGCGTGCCAAGCTTACAAGAATAAGATCTGGAGCTCCAAGCAAGCTCGCTGTGGTGCAATAAGTGTTTTCTGGCTTCACAAGGTCAGGAGCCACGACGCGCGTCGAAGACCCGGCAGCCATGCCTGCCATGCTTCTGGGGTCTGTCTTGATATGCTATTAGGACGGCTGGTAATTCAGAGAGGTAGTGACTCAGAACACGGAGATCGCAGGAGGACCAGGTCAGCAAGTCATTTGAGCAGCCGCATGTATTTGCGTAAGTGAATAGAAGGCTAGGCGCGTTGGTATTTTTGAATTACTGTTGCATCTGGATTCCGCGTTCCTCTGAGAACTAGATAGGGGCCGTGGAATGAACGAAATAGGCCGATAAGAGCCCAGTACATATTCCAACATGGCGAACGAGATCAGGTGATTTTGTCAAGGTTAGATATATGGCGAATGAGATGAGGGGCCGTGGATAAATAGTTCCGCGTATGACCCAGGTAATAGATAAAAGCCGACGCTCATATAGCCGTCGTATGGGACAAAAGGTCTTGACGACAGAGAACAGACGCGTCTCCAACTCCGTTGCCAGGCTAGCAGCGAACTGAGGCGGGGTGACACAGTAAGCCTGGGATGCGACAGTTGCCATAGCTTTATGATGACACCCAAGTTCAGCGCATTTGCTCTAGTTTGTGGACGCAGGCCAGCGGACGGCACCCTGGTCTCGGCACCAGCCACTGACATTCCACCAAAAATGAAGACCGCCGAGATTTGCTGGATCAGTGTGCCAAACTTCTGCATGGACATGGATCAACACTATGATTTGTGCGTCGTTGTGTTCAACTGTCAAGGTTCGGTGGGCTTTTGGCAGCATGCTGTTGCTAAACCATAAAAATAGGAAGGGCAGGTTCTGGGAGAAAAAAGAATGCATCCAGCACACCCAGGGGTTTAGTCGGGAAGATTTTCTGCTGGAACCTGTCGTCGTCGCAGCAATAGCTGTAGCTGTTGAAGTAGCAGTAGCGATTGGTTGGCGGTGGCAGTCGGTGGCGGTGTGCTCGGTGGCTGGTGGCATTTGGTGGCAGTGGCAGTGGCGGTAGCGGTGTCGCTGTGGCGGCGGCGACGTTAATTGACGCGGCGGTGGTAGCGGTGGAAATGGCGGTGGGGATGGCGATGGAAATGGGGGTGGGGATGGTGGTGGAGGCCCATGAATTGAAATCAAAGTAGGACGCAATAAAAAATGATCGATTCAACAAAAAAGAGGAAGTCATGGCGAAAGCCGAGATAGTGCCCCCTTCAAAGAAACGCGATTACGTGCTTAAAAACAGTTAGAGCTGGAAAACATCATCCCAGAAAGTAGCATCTGAAGCATCTGTCAACGCTAAAAGCCTCAAGACATGACGTAGTTCGTCTGGTGCTTGAGATCAATCAATTGAAGCCTGCTTTGTGTTAGCAAGGGTGTTTTTTCTATGTCGCAGAACGCTGGACCAGCATTCAAGACCTGTGCGAGCAATTTCGGAAGTCATGAACGCCTGCTAAGCTTGCGGAAATCAATTTGCCGCAAGTTAAACTGAATGCAGGGCTTGTGGCAGTCAAGCTGTTGCAGAACCCCCAGCCTACACGTTGGCCTTGACGTGTATCCCCATTACGACTACGATCCCCTGAAGCCTCCATCGCCATGCCGCGCTCTCGGTCTCCTGGGCTTGTGCGGTTGGGCACTCAGCTTGGCTTGAACTCCAACAAACAACATATATGCCTGTGTTCGATTATGTTACCCTTGTTTTTAGCCTGCTATTGTGGCAGTACTCGCATTAGTGTATATTCGCCTTAGTTCAAGGGCCGTTTAATCAGCTTATTGTGACATGCAGGTTCTGTTTTCGAGTGTCGATATTCCCGACTGGGCTAGCAGGCGGGACTGGCGGCTCATGGTGCTGCCGAAAACATTCTTTGAGCCCCCGCCTTGTTGAACGAGTACAACCGCCGCAGTCAGTGCCGCCGCATAACACTGCAATTCCAAGGTTGGCGACCCGTGACGGCGACCCAGCAACGGTGCAGAGATGATTCAATTGCCGACGCAAAGCAGGTTGCTGAAGCAGGGTTTGAAACCATAGAGACATCGCACCGACAGTGCATCGAACAGGCGTGTCAGCGTGCGGCCGCTTCCGGAAAGAAACAGACTTGGCGCAGATCCTGGTGCACATTTGCGGCCTCCCGCAAATCCTGCCGTGGAACATTCAAGGATTCGTGTTGCAGCGCTACGACGGCGAGTCAGCTGAGCTTCTTGACCGACACGGAGTCAAGCTGCAGGCTTGGCGCGGTGCCGGAGTCGACACTGTAGCACCGTTGTGGGTTTTAGCAGTTTTTTCGAAGCCCGAAGATGCAAGTCGGAACGTTTGACGAGATGTTGCATGCCAATTTGATTTGTGATTGGCTGGCGGCTGACTGTTCTTGTTTTCATTGTGGTTTCTGCTTTCGCTCTTGTTCGTTTCCCTTCTATGACCTGCTCGGCAAGTCCATTACTGTTTTGTAGCCGCAACAAAGACGTCGCATTCACTTTGATTCTGCAGCGCAGGACACCTGACCCTGAAGTGGACCTTGCTGGTGCAGGGGCCTTCCTGGTGGCAAGGAGCCTGGCCAACCCTATGCAGGCAGATTTCAGACGGGCCATTCCAAAGCCATTCCAAGATCATGATGCCAAGGTGGGTTTGACGGAGCGGCGCCAGATCAAGAAGGCCAAGAAAGAAGAGTTGAGATTGTGGGAAGAGTTTCACCAGCATGCAGCCAGCTGACGTTGACGCAATACAAAGCAGTCAAAATCGAAAGAGTCGTGGATGTCACCGAGTATGCTGGATTTGGGGTTTGGGGAACAAAAAAACTGACATGTATGTGTAGGTCAATTGGAGACATGCAGACATGTACATCTAGATCACACCGATGCGTCCAGCCCAACCTTGCGGACTTTCCTAACGAGATGGGGAGCGGCTAATTTTGCTTTCGCGATTGACTCCTGAAACCTATTGGGAAATCGAAACGTGGACTTCCGATGTAGGGCTCTTCTCGAAGGAGCGCATGTAGCTCAAGCAGCAGCGCGTCCAGGTTCAATCGCGTTCTCAAGTTGCCACTGCCTCTATGGCTTCTGCCATGTGTTTCTCTCCCGCGGTGCTGGGAGGTGTATCTCCTTCGCCTTGTTGGAGATTTTGGTCCAAAGCAGTCAGAGCAATTGCGTTCCCTTCCTGCCTGACCATGCCTGCTTTCCATGCGCGCGACTGAATTTGCAACCCAGGCGTTGATGTTCTTTGGCTTTAGGACAAGGTTACCGCAACGCACAGGCAAAGAATGCCAAAGGTCGGCCAGCGTGTGCTTGCCTACTGGCATGGGGCGCCGGGGGCTGAGAAACCACTGCCCAAACATGCCTGCTTTTGATTATCGGTGCAGCGCAGCGCCGCTTGCTCAGCCTGAAAGAGGGTGGTGTGGCCCGATCGCTGACTAGAGGTATTTTCCAGGCAAGATTGCGCGCTTGACAACCGAAGGAGCGCAGGCTTGACTGGCACTGTGGTTGGCGCTTGGGTGCCCCATTGCAACTCCATGTGTTTGCGTGGCGCAGATCTACTGGGAGCAGGAAAACAGCCAAAGCCTGCGCCGCAATATTTTTCTTGACGCCAACAAGCATTGTTTGATACCGTCAGGTTTTATGGCATTTTCAGCATTGTGGCCTATGATTCATGCGCCCGATTCTCAATCACTGCTGTTACTGCCGTTGCAACCCCATGAAGGCCTGCAACATAGACACAGAGAGCAGTCTGAACATGTGTAGGTTAGAGGTTGCCCTTCTGCACAAGGACAGGCTGAGGTGCGAGGGTGTGATATGCGTGCGTGCAGCTGCGTGCGGAAGCACTATAGGAGAAGCGGCATCTTCTCCAGATGGCTGAGAAGCACTTGTTGGAGAAGTTCGTGTGTGCATGGAGGCAAACGTTGTACGGAAGTCTTGTCTGGTCAGGCCGTTTATTGTTTTATTTTGGACTTTTCACGTTCTTGGACATTCATGTTTATACAGATCACGTGGAAGTCCTGAAGGTCCTGGATGTGTCTCCTTGATTTCGTTTTTTTGCATGCGTCATTGTCCAGAGCGGTTCCACGGTGTTCCATACCAGATGCACGAGCCCAGCCAGGTCCGCCATCGAGGTGATCAAGGACGGACGCGCTGTTGCAGGGGTTGTGGGGTTAATGCGGATTTGTGACTTCAAGGGCCAGCATCCGTGCAAACGCGTGCCGCTGCACGTGGTTTGCGCACAGGTGCAGCGGCTGTTGGCGCATTCGCAGTCCAAAGCCCACGCCCCAGCTTGGGTTTTGCAGACTCCTGCTCCAGCCCAGCTTCCTGCCATGGAGGTCCGCGATTTGGAGCATGTGTTGATCATCCAGCGTCCGTCAAGCAGCTCAAATTCTGGTATGTGGATTTTGCATGCTTTTGTCCGCGTTCAATGTCCCGGTCTGTCCCCGAGGCACCCCTCCTCATCCTCATCGTCAAGACGCATCCGACCCGGCTCCGACGCCAACGCGATTGCCTGAAATGCATCGGCACTACTGTGCGATGGAGGCCGCCAGCGATGAAGCAGAACCGCATTCGATTGGCGCCGTGCTCATCAGGGTCTCAGGTCCCGTTTTCGCCGTTTTCGCTCCTAGTTGCACCGCGTGCGTTGCCGCATTGCCACCATCACAGTGTTACGCTTCCCGGAACCGTTTTGAAGTAGCATGAGCATCGATGTTCGCCTGTGATCATCGCGGGCCACCGGCAAGGTCACAAACAGTTCAGGGTTGTTTGCGCACCTTGCCAAGGGATTCCCTCGCACATGCAATCTCCAAGCCCCCAAATCATTTTGACAACAGCAAATGAATCGGATGCCTGACGCCGCTCATAGATTCATCGCTGGAGGCGGTGGTGCTGAAGGCTTTGCGGCCCGCAAGCGTCATGACAATATATCGTCATGGACAGGTGATACGGGGTGTTGCCGGTGCTTGCTTTGGCCTGTTTTTTCTCCCAGGCGCTGCAGCGCTGCGGGCATAGAATGCACAGTGCGACGAGGTGAGCCATGGTGAGCCTCATGCTCCTGTTCGTGCTGCTTTAGACACGTAGGCGCTTCTCCTATATGGCGTGATTTGTTGCCATTGTCCATGAACATGGCGATGCCAGATGTTTGCTTTGCCAGGTGGATTCGAGGCGACTCGAGGTTTAGGTTTAGAAAGGTTTAGATTTTGCGGCAGATGAGTCAACAGCCATCTGCAGCCAGACGTGCTGCGCATTGCAGTGCGTTTAATTAATGCGAGATTCCAGCCATTTGTTGGGCGACGCTGGTTATTTTCCCGAGAGAGGGCCGGCCGAAACGTAATGTCTGCTGGGTGATGTCAAGGGACTCAAACGTAGTGCAACGCTGAGCATGGTTACCGTAGCAATGGATGTCGGAAATTATTTCGATTGTAGGATTCGTTGTGGTTTCGGCTGGGAGGGTTGTTTAGCTCCATTCACGGACTTGCGGGAAGAGTCTGGCGAATGGGCTGTTGCGCGCCACTTCAGATCTCGCGATTTCTGCAAGCCGGGGGAAAACCCCTCAGCTTAAGCCTGCCAGGCCGACTTGGACTGAGCGCGCACATGTATTGGTTTGTTCTTTCAAACTTTGTTCTTTTTTGTTTTTGTTTGTTGTTGTTTGCACTGGTCTGGGCGCCCTCAAGCCCTCAGCTGAAGGCTGCAAGCTGTACAATACAGCCTGAAGCTTGCAAAGTTGGCCGGGTGAAATACGCAAGAAGCAATGCTTAAAACACTTGCTGTGCACAGCAGCTCCGTAAGTTTATGCCCTTACACAGGCGTAGGGTTTGGGGTTTAGGGTTTATCCCGGCCATCGCAGGATCGCAGGTAAGCTAGGTATGTCATTTTTTGTTCCAGTGCGCAGAGCAATTCCCGATTTGGAGCTATTGGCAATAGCTCCAAATCGGGAAGATATTGCAGCATGGGGGTATGTATTTGCCAACCGGGGTAGTCCTTGGACCCTCAACCGAAAAAGCTCGGCATCTGAGCCGACGCCCGACAGTCGAAGCCAAAATTATGGCACGTTTCGGGCTTCGCCAGCGTTTCCAGCTGCTCTGCTGCTCATTTTGCAGGTGTTTCGCGCTCGTCCGTGCGGTTCGGCAACTTTCGTATGCCCTAAACCCAACTTGGACCGAAAAAAGCCAAAGTTGAAACCAAAATTTTGGCACGTTTCGGGCTTCGCCGGCGTTTCCAGCTGCTCTGCTGCTCATTTTGCAGGTGTTCCGCAGCTGCGCAGCTTCTCTTTCTCCTGTTGCCATCGGCAATGAATTTGCCCAATTCGGATGATGATTGGGTTTGCATTTTTTCAAACATAGGCAATCCCTGTCTGTTCAGAGCAGCTCTTCGAATCTCTGAAGCTTGAAGCCGAACAAAAGATAGCGCCACTTCATCTCGCTTTGCTGGATTGATGGCCGGTTCACTCCTCCTGCAAACTGCGTAATTGGACGCTTCCTCAGTTTGGGGCCTGGGGTGTCTCGAATCCTGTTCTGCATGCAGGGGGCTCTCACACTTCATTAGCAAAGCTTAGGCGCACATGGAGTTGGATCCCTACCAGTGCATCGCAAAGAAGAATCGCAAGTATGCCTCGGAGTGCACCGAGGACAGCTCTAAGTAGCGATGTTCATGTCTGCAAGATGTTCCTTGCCAGGTCCACTTAGCCAACCTTGGTGCAGAATCCATTTCCAAGAAGTTCGAGCATTTTCGTCGTGATCTAAGCAAGCCAGGCATGGTTATGAGCATTAGAATTCTTGCGCTCCGAGACTCGCTTGAAGTCGTTTGGTTGAAGTCTCAGTTCTCCAAACTGAGCAGCCCTAGAGACATTTGGATGCCTCAAGAGGCGTCTGCCAAGGTTCCAAGGAAACAGCTTGTCGCGTGTGGAGAACCTGGAGACAAACTTTCGTATTCGAGAGGTGCGCAGCCCTCTCAAGGCCTGTCTTTGGATTGCAGTCCGTGCAGGTTTACATCCAAAACAACCGACTGGTGTCCTTGGCTGGCCTCAAGAGCTTCAAGTTCCTGCGGGTCTCACCTTGTTGCATGCCGATTCACGGATTCACGTGTCCTGTTTCCATGGACGCATGCTACCATGCGCAGGTTCTTCTTGCAAGTGGCAACCAGCTTCGAAACCTTGACAAGCAGCTGGCCTTATTGTCGAGGCAGGCTGCGCCAGGAAGCTTGAGAAACCTAACCTCCGGTTCTTTGGGCAGATTCCCGTTTCTCAAGAAGCTGGAGCTTTTCGACAATCCTGTGCGGGACTTCTGCGTGATGCCGCAGGGCAAAGAGCCTCGTGCTTGTGTGGCAGGTGGCGGAAGAGCCCGACTATAGGCTTCGCCTCATTTACCACGTGCCACAGGCGCTGCAGGGGAGCTAACTTGAAAGCTTGAAAGCAGAAAAAGCTGAAGAGCTGCGAGGTTGAGCTGTTAGACCAGCATACAGTGAAGGGTGCAGAGCGACTTCGGGCTGATGAAGTTGTGCCAAATTTGGACAAGGCCCTGATCGAACACACGATGAATCAGTCAGTACAGTCCAATCCAACCCGGCTGTTAGCATTAGAATTTCACGGCTGCCTACAGCAAGTGCCATGACAGGTCTCTGCGGCAAAGGTGGAAAAGCCTCGACCGAAGGGCCACCAGTTCTCATTGCTGGAGAGGATGGGAGCATTGGAACTCGCGGGGCAGGAGTTAGGTAGGTGCCAGCTAGATACAGCCCATGTCATCCCGGCTTTTTGTGCTTTATCCTTCGTGTGCAGTAAAATCCGCACAGCAGGCAGTGCATTCATGAAGCTCGGAGCATCCAAGAAAGACGGAGGCCTGCAGCTCCTGAAGCAGAGAGTCAGACAGGAGTACGTGAGGATGTATAGAAGCACCTTGAGGCAAGAGGAGGAGCTCTCAATGAGCAAGAGCTTCCATGTTGCAGTTGACAAGGTCGGGTAATGTTGCAGCATCCATAGTGTCTAATTTTTGAGGATTTCCGTATGCAGGATGCCCCACCGGACTGCAAAGTCTTCAAGGCTAACCGGGACCGGTGGATGGACCCGAGGAGCTCACGGCTCGCATGCCTCGCCACGCCTCGGCTCTTGGCATCTCTTCGGTTCGCCTGGCAGCTGCAGGAAGAAGATCGTCCACGAAACTTTGAGGCGGTATTCATGATGCCAGTCTGCAAGAGATGGAGAGCTGATGGATTGTCTAGGCCAACGCCATGGGAATGCCATGAGATGCGGGGACTCATTGAAGAGCGTGCTGGCAAGAAAGAGCTCACGAAAGAGGACGTCGCAGCCCTCGCGAAGGACCATGCTGTGCCCTATTACGGGCTCACTGCTCCTGCAGCTGCCAGTGCCGAGGACCTTGGACAAAGCGGCATTGAAGAGGTTGGCCGCTTCCTGAAAAGCCCGGCTGCTGTTTTCGAGGAGGTGATGGAGCAGGATTGACTTCACCGAGCCGTTGAAAGATTTCTGCAATGTGAAATGGTGGAGGATGCTGTTGAGGCAGGCATGACGGCCCTGGCGCGTAGCCTCAAGTTTCACACCGAGTCCAAGGGGAAGGCCGGTCACTCCTTAGCCGGTCGAAGTACCAACCGCATCCCAAATTCACGAAAAAAGAGCTTGAAAAAAGGTATTCGTAGTTTTCACACTAGTTTTCCATTCCAGTTCGAAAGCTACCATCTGGCAGTCTCCAATGCTTAACCTTAAGCCATTTGCATCATCCACAGTGTAAGTGCAGGTGAAGCCAGTGCCTCACCCCCTGGACAAGCTGATGCAAGATGCATCGGTGCCCAACTCATTTTGTTGTGTGACGCATAGGGAAGCCTGGAAGCCTGGATTTGGCTAAGGCAACCCTTCCGGTTTCAGAAGTGATCACCTGGCTTCTGCGAGCTCGGCGAGCTTATGCCGAAATGTGTGTTGCCAGAGGAAGATTTCCACTCTTTGAACCAGATCCTGCAGGAGACTGGACTGGCCTCGATTTGAAGATGACCTGTTGGACAGGACAACCTCAGTCTGGAGGATGGGCCCAGGTGAACTGCATGAATGAGCGCCTGTCAGGCGTATTGAGAAGCTCTTCGAAGACATTCGCCGTGCTGAGTTTGCTGGCGACAAAGAGACGGTGGTGCCCGCTTCCTGCTTAAGCTGAGTGCCGTTGTTCTCAGTGGCGGGGTGCATGAGGGAAGCTTCGCCATCTTTGACAGGGCAAGCTCCGAACGCACGCATCGCGGCTCGAGGGTCACTTGCCCAGCAAGATGCTATTCATCCATGAACAACAGCTGTTCCATTACCAGGTGCCAAGACTTTGAAGGAGCATGTGGAGCTCAATCGCAAGGTTGGCTCGTTGCGGATTTTGCTGGCCCCACATAACCATCCAACTGCACTGGAGGAGATTGTCCAAGCAGCTCCCAAAGCGCGGGTTGACATTTTCCCTCAGCATTATGGCTGCACTTGGGCATGCTCTCATTCTGGCAAGCCCTCCCTTCACAAGACTTTGATGCTTAATAGAGGCGACCTTACACCCGGGGTTCTCGTTTGAAGGTGCGCGGGTCTGGGGTCACGGAGTTGACTCGAATTCGTTGTCTCAGCATCCGTAAGCATTCTCGCGCGCTCGCGAGTGTCGCACGGGCTCTGGATGCGGCAAGGCCTAGAACACGGGAAGCTGAGGCGAAACCTAAAGCGACGCATAATCGTTTTCGGGTTGGAGGCTCCTATCTGCTTTCTGAATCAGACTGCAGCCCCTTAAGTGTCAACCCGCAATCTGTCCATAAGATACCTCTAGTTTTATGCCCTTTATGATATCTGGTTTCTGAGCATGTGCAGAAGTGCTATGTGTAAAGAGATGGACTGCTTCACCGTCACAAAACAAGCACAAGAAAACAAGCCCACTTGAGCTTCTTTTCTCGTGCTCATTTTTGTGGTTGGGATTGTGATCCTTGTGGTCACTGTTAGTGCAACAAAAAATTCTCCGGCACCACAATCCAAAGCACAAAAATGAGCACCGGAAAATAAGCTCAGTCGGGCTTATTTTATCATGCTCATTTTTGTGCTTCGCATTGTGATCCTGTGGTCACTGTTAGTGCAACAAAAAATACTCCCGTACTACTCTGGTATACTCCAGTACTACCCCGCACACAATCAGAAGCACATAAATGAGCACAAGAAAATACGCTCAGTTGGGCTGATTTTCGGATTGTGGTCACAGTTAGTTGACCAAGGGGTTTTACACAACCTTGACGTCCTAGTTGTTGGCATGAAGCCAAGATTCATATGCTCCCTTGGCGTAGGTCAGACACATGATTTGACTCAAATTGCCAGGACGTTCATTCGGGGCAAGCGTCAGATAGACGAGGCTACAGGGCGAATCGTCTTGAAGGCTAGGTAGATCCTGCTTCAGCCCAAGCCCACGGCAAGGGTGCTATGAGACTGGCAGGTTGGCATGGACACCAGAAGCACCAGCATGGGAACCATGACTGTTGCAAGGTAGCAGTGTTTGGCATGTCTCACAAAGTCTCATCAAGAGACTCGTCTGAGCCACAGACAGATGCTCACAAAGGGGGCTTCAGCATGGCACTGGAAAGATCCTCCTATGCTTACTGGACCGTTGCGCATTGGCTCTGCAGCTGACGAGATTGCAAGTACAGCAACGCTTTGAGCAAATCGATAGAAAATCAGCTATCATTTTTGCAGCAGCATCTTTGGACTTGATGAGTCATCCCATCTTTTATCTGGATCTCTTACCTATCCCTGACTGTGGTCTTTAGATCACTTTCGCATGCACTTTCAAGAGCTTTTTACTTGAAGCCTTGGTGCTGATGAGCATCTTTTACATAACGATCGCAGCATATATCTTGATCGGTGGAGTCGGAGTCGGTGCTCCGTTGTGTTGATTATGTTGCTTGATTTTGCCTTCGAAGTTAAGACTTGCTGGTCCTCGCACATTCTTGCACATCAGCCCCTGGCAAGGTATTTTCCTATGGGGCAAAGAGCATGGAAACTCCATCTTCGACAAGCTCTACCGTGTGTTCTGCATGCACTTCCCCAGGCTGCTCAAGAAGGCTCTGACATAAAAGCTGGCTTAACGAAATCATGCTTCATTGAAATGCGGTTCCTGTATCATCCTGCATCTTGAGGCTTTGGAGAAGGTTTTCGGCAAGCGAGCTCCCGCGGCGTTGGACGCGGCATGGGTGTATGTTTGCTACACAAGCAACCCGTTGGTGCAAATCTTCTATGTGCTTAGCTTACACAGGGAACAGTTAGCAGATGCTTGTATGTGTATCAGCCCACTTGAGCAATCCATCGCACACTGCCTGCTAAGCTGCTCGTCGTAGTGGGTGGCTACGCAACCTTTGTGGCCTACAGCCACCCTCATATTCCCAACAAGCCTGAAGCTTAGATTTCTTCTTGCACGCGCCTTCTTGTCCTGATGCTCATGTGCAAGTGTCAGCTCGGTATCTGGTAGGCTGCTTAGCAATGTCCACAAGTACATTGGCTTCGGTATTTTTTCTACCTGCCTGGCGATTTGGTGGCGAGCTTGCACTGTCCATGCCCTAAAGCAATCGCGATTGCAAGTTCAACGTGGCTTGAAACGGGCGCATGTAGAAGGCAGATTTCCGATCTCTCCTCATTAAGAGCCTGCACTAAGGCCGACCCAGGGATCGTGACCCCTGAGAACTTGGACAAGCTGTGTGAAATTTGGAAGGCGTGGAGTTTAAGTTTTGAGGGTCTTCGTGAACCCATCCTGCCTTGCTCAGTGGGATGACCAGATCTTCCACATGGCCATTTGCAGATCCTGCGAGCTTGCAAAGCCAGCACGCTCCAAGCATTGCTCCTTATGCAACCACTGCGTTGCAAGGCTCGTGCAGCTGCAGCAAGAAGGTTGGGGTTTGCGTGCTGAGCTGATAGGTTCGACCATCATTGCATTTGGATCAACAACTGCGTGGGTGTGGGGAATCATCGGTACTTCCTGGCGTCCTCGCCTCAACTTCTTTGGTGAACAGGGCTCTCCAGACAAACTGTACTGCCAAGGTTTTTGGGTGTACACCTGGTGATTTGCTTCTATGGCTTCGGCTTGGAACCCGGGCCATGTGTGGAGGAAACTTTTTGTGCAATTCGGTCCACAGAGGTCTGACTGCAACTATCCTGTACAACCTTATCGCCCGCCTGCCTGAGTTATGGCTTTGACATGAGACTTTTATACCCTTCCTGTCAGGTGCAGAAAGAACTCCTTAGCGCCGTGTTTGTTCGACCCGATACCAGGGTGCTCCGGCCAATCGACTGCATGTGTTAGTTGAAGGCATTTTCGTTGGCTGAGGAGCGGTTTCAAGCCACGAAGCTGATGGTGATGCAATATTTACTCGCAACGGAGGCCCTACCATCTGTGTTTGTACTAAAATTGCTGCCAGCCCTTTGACGTAGGGAATGGTGGTGTTCATCTGCGCCCTGTGCTGCATCATGGGGGTCGTCCTCTTCGGCTTCTTCGGGTGGCATCTTTATCTTGTACGGTCAGGCCTCTGAGACCACAAAGGATGGCAAAAGAGGGATGCTTGGCTTCTGGCCAGGGACCACCACCAACGAGCTGAGTAAGTGGAGCTACGTGAGGATGTGCTTGAAGCAGGAGCAGCGCCCCACCACCACGTGCTACAGCAGTGCAGTAGACGGCGTTGAAATGGCAGGAAGGCCCGGAAGGTAAGGAGAAACTAAAGCTCCTTGTCAACGAGTACGATAAGGCTGGCTTCATCACAATCTCTCAATCAGAAAGCTGAATTCAGTTTCTTATTGGACGAATCAACCCAAGCTGAACCATTTTCGCGCGGGCCTGTCAGCTGGCTCAGGGGGGGTTTCAGCTTACAGTGCCACGTGCGTCTCGCTTTGACGACCAATGCTTGCTTCATTAGTAGACAGACTTCAGCAATCTCTCCTCCGCTGCTTGGTGCCATGCCTGGGAATCCTGCGACACTTGATTCACAGACGCTCCCGCCCGCAATGTCCGATTCCCGGATTAGCTGTAGGTAAGCCTTCAAGCAGCACACTGGCAGTCTGCTAGCGAGGCGGAGTGGAGCTCGAGCAAAGACTGTGGCAAAGTCTCGTTCTATGCTCACGCGCCTCACAGCGCGTGGGAACACAAGAGTGTGTTTGGGGCTGAGCACCAGAAAGCCCGCCGTAGAGACATCACAAGGCTAGCCTTTTCGAGTCAGGCGAGCAAGGTCTGAAGCTGGCCGAAGCATACCGTGCCGCGGGCTGAGTTCCGCATGCGATCCTTCCAAGTCTCCAGTGGCTGTAGACCTTTGAGGCAGGACACGGCTATGGCAACGGCTTTGGTCCTTGTAAGCCAGCTTCCTCATCGCCATGCGAAACTTCGTTAGTCCATGGCCTTACTGACTGGCAGCTACCCGTCTCAGAGGCACAACTGGACACAGAAGAATTGTCCGATCAAGTGCATGCGATGTCCTGGCCTGATACTGTACTGACAAGAGCCAATGGATGTGGCTTGGAGAAGAGGTCTTTATTTTGCGCGGCTCCCGATCACTCTAGTCACTGGCTGTAGAGAAAGCTGTTGAGCTGTCAGGTAGGTCTGCTGCGTTTTGTGCCCAACATCTGAATTCAGGGTTACTCGGCCGGACTTCAGAACAAGCTTCGAATCCTGATGCAGGCACCGCTAGCGGAGATCGTGCTCCAGAATGACAAGGTAGAACTTGGCGAGAAGTACAACATGAAAATCAGCTCCCGATTTCAACCCCTGCTTGCAACCACAGCGCATTATCACTTCCCACTGCCCACTTCCGAGCAAAACCGACGCTACAGCAACGTGAGACCATCACGCTTGGTGATGTCTCATGACGAAGGACAGCCAACGAGTCAGCCACCAGAAGTTCCTTCAGAGGTACGGGAGGGTGAAAAGAGGCCAACTCCACTGCTGTCGAAGCTGACGCTGCCGGAGAGGGAGGGTATGGTACGCCTTCGTCCGGGGGTCGCATACAGCATTTCTCGGCTGGAAGAATGGTTCTGCCTACTGGACACAAACCGCTCGGGAGAGGTCACCGTGCGTAAGCTCATCCTCGGTATGATGAAGCATCAGGCCATTTACCACTTAGTTTCCCACAGACCCGACCAAAAAGTAAGCAGTGTTCCGGCTTTGCCAGCCGCAGGAGATCATGGATTTGGTATTCATGCTCAAGGAGAAGTCCGAGGGGCGCTTGTGGAAGCTGCGGCCAGAGGATAGGCCAACCGCCGGCAAGCTCAGCAGGGACCCCCGGCAGCGTTTTCCGCGTGCTCCAAGTAAGTGGCAGATTTGCTTGCAAGCAAGAATGCTGCAGGACGACATGCACTGGGTGAGAGCAACTTGGATCTAAAGGTTTAGAGTGCTCCAGAGTACGCAAGCTGATTACTGGCAACTGCATCTGCAAAATTTTCAAAATATAGCAGATGCAGCATGTGGATTAAAGCTGACAGCAAAAGACAGAAGTAACAGCTAACCAAGGCGGTCCTGGAGGAGCTGGATGCCGGAGGCGGTGCCTCGATGACGTGGCCGGAATTTGTGGACTTCTTCCGCCAGACGGGTGACCTGGATCATGTCAGCATCTTCTCATGAGCTCCTTCAATGTTAGGGTTTCCAAGGGGCAATTAGAAAGGGTCGACATGCAGATCCTCTTGTAGTTGAGCATATGAGTATAGTCCTCTCCATATTCCCTACTAGGAACCCATGTCCATTATTGACTGTAGCGAGCGCTTGACCCAGTGGATGAGGTCTGCTTCTCGAGTATAGCACTCGTGACGATCTGAATCGATCTGAGTTGGGAGAAACAAACATGGAAGAGTTGCACGGTCCTTACTCGAGCTCAGGGTGTCCGAATCAGCATCTGTGGTACTGCAAGATCTGAGATCATGATCATTTTGCTCATCACAGTCAAGTAATACTCCTGCCAAGTCTCCGTCAACACGAAGAAGAACTTAGAAGGGACCAAGAACGATTCTTCAGTGAGCAGCGCCGAGGCCGTGTTGGGCATTGCGCCAATCTTGAAGACACGGAACAGCCCACACTTGTTTGCAGTTTTGTTGCGCTGACTCTCCAGGAGCCAGGCTGTTTCAAAGCAGCCCACAACAGTCAGAAAGAAGATCCAGCAGATCGAGCTGTGCACTAGCACAAACTACGTAGTTTCAAGCCTGCGTGTTTGAGACCCTGGCGATCAACCTCGCCTTCCTTTTAACAGGCCTAGGAGCCTATGCGTCATCTGTCTCGAAAAGGGATAGAGGAAGTCAGCTTCAATTGCAAGACAGTGCAGTCTCAGGCAGACCAATGTTTGCCAATTGCAGTTGTATAGTTGAGACGTGCTTGAAGACTGTCACAGCCAAGCGTTGCACAGCCGGTACAAAGGTCTACCGGCCTCGAGGTTCATGTAAACTGAAGCCCAGAGGGCACAGCTCGACATCTCTGCAAAACGCAGAGGTAAGCTGCGGAAAAAATGTATCCACGGAGGACCTAAGTTAGACAATGCGAATGGGCACGCCAAGCGTCTTCGAATTGGATCTTGGACGCTTCTGATAGGGCTGCTTTGGCAACTTCAGGGAGGTCTTCTTCCCAATAGATGACAAAGCCTCAGCTTGCTGGGATTTCATGGAATGCCAACACCTGAACGCGTGAAGCAACCTGATCTCCTGAGACGCAGCAGCTCTCAGCAGAGGCGGCTGCAAAGCAGGACGATGCCGATTTTTCCAGCCACTCGTCAATGGCTGTTGCCTGGCAGCGGTGCCTGTCTTTTGGGAAGGAGCCAAAAGGCGGACACGGGAAGGAGACGCAAGGAAAAGCCCGGAAGAGCAAGGCCCTGCATAGTCCGTTTTCCCTGTTGCAATCCTTGCGAGACAATGACGAACTCCCTGAAAGGTGAAGAAAGCAGACTGAGTGGCTTGCGTCGGCTTGCGTGATGAAAATGAGCTCTTCCAGCATCTTTTGCACGGCTGCTGATTGCCTAGCCTAGCAGGAATGACCCTGGAAGTAAGTAGGGTTTGTGATGGCTCATGCTGAGAACTGCGGCCGCTGTTGGACCAAGCAGGGCCACCGGGCCATAATGAGGACCTTGTGGTGACAAACAAGGCTGGAGATCACCAAAGAGACCTTTTCACCCTTTGGGCGGCCCGCTCCGAACGGATCTGTGGCGGGAGGCCGAGTTCGGACGACATGATGATTAAACACATGTGGTGCAGTCGTGATAATGCGACCTGACGCTAACGATTTCGCAAACAAGCAACAATATGGATATTTGTTTGCAAGATAAGAGGCCTAGCCCCAAAGGCACATCAACATAGAATCCTTAGATAAACCTATAGTTTCGATTTTGTCCATTATCCCTATATAACCCCATATAAACCTATAGGCTCCTTGGAGTTTCTTGCCGAGGCCACGGCCCATCGTCTGGCACCGAAGGGTACCGGGCAGTAGGCTTTTTGACGGCTCCTACGAAGACCGCGGAGACCGGGGCCGCTATGATCCCTGGCCCTGTGTGTGCTGCATGGAAGGCCTGGGCATAACAGTTGATTGAACCTGGCAACCAGAGATCTTCATTGTTGGGTTTTAATATCTTGGAACTACGTAATATGTCTTGTGCTGGTAGTCTTCTTATTCATCACCTTTCTCTTCCATTGCACCTAGTATGGGCATATGTACCATCAACGCTGCGCCGGCAACTTCGCTTCGGATCCACGACCTCGCAAGGGTTTGCAGTATGTGGGAGCTCGGGAAATAAAGTTGTCAAGCAGGAGTCAAGCTGCGGAGCCTTGTGCAAGGATTCGGCTGGGTGTCTGTAGAACTGTTTTGCTCGACAGGGCACCGTGCGCGTTCCGAGGTCCCTCTCTTTGGGCTCAAATCTCCTGCTGCTCGGTGTGGGTGACGGAATGGTTAGTCTGGGAGTGGACGTGTGCGACGGGGAACATACCGCGGCAGTAATAGAGGAGAACGTCCTGATTGTGGAAATTGTGAAGAGCCAGCGAATGGCAACATACTCTTCTCAAGTTAAGAAGCTGCAGGTATGAGACAGCATCAACTATGGAGGAAACGGAGCTATCATGATGCAAGCGGTTTCGGCAGATTAGGTACCGATTTTCCCATTGAGGTTTACTTTCATGAGCAGCTAAGGCAAGTTAGAAAAGGGGAGAGGCTCGCACAGATCGTTGTGAACCCCACCAGCAGGGTGCACACGAGCCGTGGAAGGGAAACCATGCTTGTTCGACATCCCGGCGTCGCTTATGTCGACCGGACAGACCGCGCTTTCAGGCTATGGGGTGCAACTCCGGCGCGCTCTGCAAGGGGCACGCGCAGCCTTTCGGGGAAGAAAAAGATGTGAAAAGGGAAAGGAAGAAGACAAAGAGGAAGAGAGAGAACACCATGTAGACTAACTGTATCCATGTATCATCATATATATATATATGTATGTATGTATGTATGTATGTACGTATGTATGTATGTATGTATATTTTAGCATCTAGCACCATTCCAAACGCCGCGTTGGGATCCAGCCAGCAGACTTGAGAAGACTCCGCAGGAACATGAAGATTTCGCTTCTGTCTACGAGCCCCTGTCCAAGGAATGCCTTGGCCGAAGCTTGCACGCACACCTCTTGCGGGATCACATGCATTGGCAGGACGGTGCTTTCATTCCGTTCAAGCCACCAGCTCCGGAAGACATGCAAGAACCACCAACGTTGGAGAGGCCCACCGTGCCTTTAACTCTCCGTGTAGAAGCTTGGATGTGATGCTCTTTGGCAGGTCGATGGTCCGATATGCGCCTGTTGCTACTCCCAGAATCCGCCGCCTAGTATCCGCGGTGAGAAGTCAGCGCCTTGATGCGGTCTCGCCCTGGCACGCAAGACATGTTTCTGCCATGTCGGCCGGATCAGGCAGAGAAGCGCTGAGACAACGAGATTTGGATCGAAAAGCTCTCCCTGTAGCAGATGCGAAAAATGCATTTTCCCCAAGAATTCGAAGACCAGTTGCAACCACGCGGATCTTCCCTAGACGTTTTCACAGGTCGAAGACGAATGTCACGAGAAGTGCCTGGACCTAGATACAGGCCGGTGGTAATAATGCCATCTTGTGCCATTGTGGGTGCCTTGTGCAGGTTATGTTGGCACAGAAATAAAGCCCGACGTCGACACAGAGGCAGAAGATTCCGAGGCGACATCGGTCGTATTGTTGTGGCTGTGGGCAGCATGTGATTCTTGCCTTTAACCTTGGCATTCTGATGCAGGTCAGCACCACGGAAGTCTGCAGTGATGCCCGGCCGACGTTTAGGGACTTCAGCCGCCAGGCCAGGTGAGATTTTGTTGCGTTTCTATATCAGCAGGTCATGCCCATGTTTTGGGTGTTAGAGTAGACTTGATACGCCCTGTGAAAGCTGCAGTTTGTGCGTAGAAGCGTCCACAAGTCCAGAAGCATCAAGTCTATCGAGCGTATGTAGGCGCCAGATGGCTGCCTCCACTTGATAGTTCCTTCGAAAGGACCGGCCGTCAATGGTGTTGATCGTTGTGGGGCTTCTGAGCTGTCTAAGTGCATGAAGGTTACTTGCTGATCAATCTCTGTCAGGACCGTTGTACGCTCAAGATGAGCCGCCTGACTTCTTGCAACTGCCCGAGCCCATCAAACAGCGTTCTGCACTGAGCTTCGTGCCACGTGATTCCACGTGATGCAGAAACCTTTCAACTAACCTGTTCAGACTAACAAGCGGAACAACAGGCCTCATGAGAGTGAGGCACCGCCGGTGCTGCGCGCGTTGCAGCAGCTGCCAGGCATTCACTTCAGCTCTTTTCGTTTTTTTCCGGGTACGCAAGTTTTATCAACCAGTCGCCGCTTGAGCAGGGCGTGGGCTGCGGCATCAGCGCCGCATCCACACGGTCGCCAGGCCAGAAAACGCATCCCCACTCGTCAGCTGCAGTGTGCATCAGGCATCGAATCAGCAGTACTCAGAGGTACAAGTAGATACGTTGACTCTACATAGCACTAGCAAGCTTTTTGCATACGACCGGCCTGGGGAGCCAGGATGGTCAATTGCCGGCCACGGCGCGTGGTGTGCTGCTCTCGCCGCAGCATCAAGCCATTGCCGATGAGCTGAACTTTCGGGGTCCAGGCTCGGAGCCTGATAGCTGACAGCAATGCTTACAAAATCTTGCGACCAGTTTCCACCAACTCTCAGCAGGTCCCGGAGAGTCTGTGCTGCCTGCGTCTTCTCAGGCTCACACGGCAAAAGCACACATCAGGGTGGAGAGGGGTGAAGACATGTTCCTGCAAGGCAGATCCATCTCGACACGGCCAGGTTGAGAATCGCCAGGCTCGTCGCGGGATAGCTTGCCCGATTCTCGATATTACAATGTTGCTTGCCGTGAGCAGGTTGTAGCTGGACCCGCCGTGCTGGCTCTCCGCCGCATGCGGAACCAAATGTCGGCACTGGCGGAAGGCCGCCTACCCTGGAACTTCTCCCGCGACCGCCAGAATGAGGACGTGGCAGAACCTCATCAGACTGTAGCAATTCTGACCTCTGCAGGATCAGCCACAGGCTACGGAGCATGTGCCGCATCCTCCGCAGCAGCCCCCTAGCGGGCAAAGAAGGCAAGAATGAGCAGGGCAAAGCGGCCTACACTGCACAGTTTGAGTTGCAAATTATTGCTCCTGAGTGATCTCTTCCAACGCCATTGCAGCCAAAGCATGCCAAAGCAAGATGACGCAAGACATAAAAGGGAAGATGCCAGTGACAGTGGCTGTTGCCCCCAAGGCAAACGGGACAGAACTGAACATGCTGTGTACGGTATGCACCGTCTAGCAAAAACGCGCGAACTGCTGCTCCGCGCATATCTTCAAAGATAGGCTGTCACGGGTTTCGCGAAGTTCGGATCAAATTCCGCAAGAACTAGACCAAGACCAAACTGACTTTAGCCACTGTGGAGAGCTTGAAAGACTTTGAAAGAGCTGCAGGAGGACGTAATTCCCAAGCAGCAAGATGCAGCAAGATCTGAATAGACGGTGGTTGGATCGTGGAGCTTCCCGTAACATTTTTTAGGACTTACTTCCCATTGTCAACACGGCCCCGGGATTTGAGTGGACCAGCAGCACAGAATCGCATTAAGTTTGATCTGCATCTGCCTATGTCCCGCGTTCACTTGCATTCCTCTGCAGAGCGGTTATGTGAATTGGAAAGTCGAGCTTGTGATCTGCCGCAGGCCGCTGCTGCCCAACCTGGGCAGAGCAGTGCCTGAGCTGCACAGAAGCGTAGAAAGCGTAGATTCTTCTTCTGCGGGTGGTGCACAACAGCAGGTCAATTCAGCTGCCGGCAGTTCGGCACCGGCGCAGGGGCAACCAGGCCCTGGAACGGCAGAACAGCATGCACCAAGGGGTTTGCAGCTTGCTGATGCCGATGGGCCCCGGACTGCACTGTTTCAACGGGAGTTTGCTGCCTGTGTCGTGCGAAGGATCGTCAGCTGGCAAGGGACCAAGCCTGATGTGACTGCGCGATCCTTGTGATGTCTGCATCCGCTGAGGTGGTGCAGCTGATGGAGCCCAGATGCAGCACTTGGGCTGGCATTAAGATAGCCCCGTGCAAGGAGTTTTGTATTTTCACGGACATTTCCTGGAGTGCTTGGCTGCCCAGAAGCCGGGCAGTGTGAGCAAAAGGTCTCTGGTTCCCACGGCACCGAGCCAGCCAAAGCCGGCCTCCAATTCTGCGAACAGTCGTTTTTGGAGAAGGCTGACACGTAGGGGACGTTTTTTTTTTTTTTTAAATCTTCAGCATCAGAAAGCTTAATTGTTCAGTAGGCCTTGGCCGCGGATGAACATTATGGGCACGCTTGGATGGGGTGGAAGCAGCCCGGTGCCCAGCAATTTCAGCCGAGTAAGCTGAAAATCCCGGTGTGCCGTACA